CAAGGTATGTTTCATTGTGAATAATAAATAGAAATTAGACATTTCTTAGTAATTAGCAGTGATATTGGACAAACTAATACGCGTTTGGCTATAAGGTAATGTACTTATTAACTACACAAGGTGCCAGTTACTGTAGCATTCGTCAACTTTGCATAATCGATGGTCGAATTATGCCTTTAAGTCATGCTATTTAATGAAACTTCGGCCATCATTCCACTCAGCAACGACCACCAGATGATGGCATATTTTTTCTTCGCTGTACTTTTCTTGTTGATCTTCGTTCTTCGTACGATTGTTCACTCGTCATTCTTCACTCTTTCTTCGCCATACGTTTGTTCTTTCTCCATAATATTTTTAATGAAACTGTCGTTGTTTGCAAGAAAAATTGGACTACATTTGTCCCATATGGGCTACATTTAGCAATGTCCAACAGATGTTGTCTACAATTTTTTTTTCTTTGTTACTGTGCAGGAAAAATGGGGCTACATTTGTCCGGATGTTGCCAAGGAGTTCTCTAAGTACGACAGTGACCCAGCGAAGTGGATGAAGACGTATGAAAGTTTGAACCACGTCACGAAACAGCCGTTCAGCGTCGACGTCGGTTACGAGCGTTTTCTGGGACCAGAAATCTTCTTCCATCCGGAGGTATCGTTACATTTAATTAAAATATCACTATAGTGCTTCATTAATATGTTTCCTAAATATAATGATTGGCAAATTGCACCAAGGATGAAGAAGTGCAAGTTTATGAGCAAGAGTGAAAATCAAAATAAAAAATCAAAAAAGAGAAAGAGTGAAAATCAAATTACTGGTAGTTCACAAGATTTATTTATATCAATTTAAACCTAATTGAAAACTTTTGTCATTTAACTCCAAGTTTATAGTTTTTATCTGATTCATTTAGCTGTCATTTATCGTCATTTCAGCAGCATGTCCTATGAGGTTGATATGATCCATATTTGCTGTAATATTGACTTGCAGCCAAATTTGTGTGACATTTAATTTCTGATATATTTCATAAATAAAAAACAAAGTTAATTTTTACTCAACCGTGCTGGTTTGAAACGTACCGCTGACGTTTCGCCTACTGTCAGGAAGCTTTCTCAAAGCAAACTGATGTTAATGATTATATTTCATAAATATATCTTTTTTTATAATGTTTTTGTGTCACATTTCATGCTGAGTGTCGTATTTAATTTGTCACAGTTTGCGAACCCTGACTTTACGACACCAATATCAGACATAGTGGACAACGTTATTCAGAACTGCCCCATCGACGTCAGGAGGCCTCTTTACAAGGTACCCGAAACTTTCATAAGGCCTAAGATAAAATATTGCTTGTTTCCCCTTTACCGACCGACTCGCCAAAACGCTGCTACTCGACACATTTTATGGGGCGATTAAAACAAAACAAAAATTTTTTCGTTTCGCCAAAAAAAAAATCAAATTCGTTCCGCAAAAACATATACACAAAACAGAATATACAATATACATACACGCATCTTGTCAAAACAAAATAAAAAAGATTTTTGACCTACCTACCTACTCGGTACCCTGAGAGGCAGGTAGGTAAAGGGGAAACAAAATTTTTTTTAAGGGTGGCCTAATTGCTTCACTTACCTTAAAGCATGTGTTTGGCTTCGTACTAAATATATCTGTAATCACCGTGACCTCAATCTCCAAACACGAGACCGGACCCCAACACGTAAGGATGTGAGCCGGTTGGCAAAATTCATTTTGAATAGTCTGGCTAAAATCTCGCGGTCATGGAAAGCCGGAAAAACCAGAAAAAAGCGTTGCTTTCAGCGCATGAGCCCCCGACACCATCCGCAAGAGAAAAGTTTATCATTGTTCTTTGTTCTTTTTTAATCAGTGTAGTGGGTGTCTAAACATATGGTAAGTTGTGTGTCGTTAGAGTTCAACCCGTTCACACCTTGTTCGGGGTCAGTGACACTTACAGTGTATGCGTGTGTCAGGTAAATGTCCCAAAGCAATGCCTGGTCGTTGTACGAAGAAGGAACTTGGGAGAGTTGGGTTTGAAATATTATTTCGACCCCTCGATTACAATTATATAATATAGATAGACACCAAATACATACCAAAAAAATATCACAAGACATTGACAAGATGAACCGCGAATGACATATTTCGCAATTGTTACAGAACTACGAGTGACCAAGTTTCTGTACGTTGAAAGAAGATAGAAACCCACCTTGCGAAAGTTTATTATTCGATGGCGGACCAGTGTGAATGGAAATTTATCCGCATGGAAAGTTTACGTTGCTCTGGCATTGATTTATTCTAGGATTTTATAATATTTAGGCACATTGTAAAATTTTAAGCGATACTTTGATTATGCGATATCTGTTATATTAGGTCTATGACATATTATTATGTTACAAATTCATAGCCATAGAAGTTGTATTTGTGTTCAACGTAGCGATTGTACACGCTGGCGAATCTGGGTATAGATAGGTAAATACTCATCTTTACATATAAATTTATTGGTTGTGATACGTTTAAAGGTACGTGGGAAGCAGTCTAAGTGCCGTGTCATAATCAAACCCATTCGCCGAAATTTTCAGGACACACCGGACACGGAAAAGGTTAGGTGTATTGATAGGCACCCGACGTCGTTTTCTACATTTGTTGATAAACACGCCTTCAATATTGCACCTATCTATGGCAAAGGTGTATCCGCTGTGGCCATTTTCGGTGTAGGAGTAGGAAGGTCCTATACTACAGATACGAATTTACTAAAGTTTTCTTTGGGTTACAGCTAAAGTAGCAAACATGGCTGGTCGTATGCCAGCTTGTGTCATAGACAATGGCACTGGGTATGGTAACATTAAATGTCATAATAGTTTGTTCTGTAATTGATGTATATATAACTTATTGACATTGTCTCTGTAAACGGTGTCCAACTTCGACTTTGCACATCCGCAATGTTGTAGAAACTTAATTAGAACTTAGAAGTTGTAACTACTAACTAGTAACTATCCACTTGTACTGTCATCTATTCACTATTGCACGAATGGTATCTCTGAAATCCCTGTACTTGCCAACACTCGAACAACGCAATAAGGATAAATGGATAGAAAATTAGCAAATGCAAATGCAAAAATGACAGCATCAATGTGAAATTGCCAAAACCTAAAGTACAGTCTACAGATTACAGTGACTCACTGTCACAGTGTCCACACTAATAGTAATACACAGACTGACAGAGTAAAACACATAGCAGCCCGGCGTTACTAGCGTGACAGCTAAAAAAATGAAATGCGATAAATGACTTGGGATGATCGTTTAAAATCCGTTTCTTTCTCGTCAGGTACACAAAGCTTGGCTATGCTGGCAATACCGAGCCCCAATTCATCATTCCATCGTCGATCGCCGTTAAGGAATCGGCAAAGATAGGCGACCAGGCGTCGCGGCGGCTCGGCCGCGGAGTTGACGACCTCGACTTTTACATCGGCGACGAAGCTCTAGATGCGACGGGATATGCTGTCAAGGTAAGGTTTATATGCGCGATGCATTGTCAAGGTAATTGTTCCATATCGTTTAATTAAATTAAATTCTGTTTTAGCTACTTAATGTGTAAAGTTTATATAATCATGCTGGTGTTATCCTTCGTGGTTGCTCTTACATACGTTTGCAATGCTTTTACGTAGGTTTATAAACTTTCTCACCTTTCTTCAGTACCCTATCAGACATGGCATAGTTGAAGACTGGGACCTGATGGAGAGATTCTGGGAGCAGTGCATCTTCAAATACCTGCGCGCAGAGCCAGAGGACCATTACTTCTTGCTCGTAAGTCTTGTTTACTAATTAGTGTGATGTTTGTTCGAGACTATCGTTAGCAGAATTACGTCAAGTGTGAAAGAAATTTGTCGAAGTCATGGTTATTTTGTATAATCTCCAATACTAGTGATTATAAGTGTGACGTTTATACATCCGACTTCTATACTCGATCATCCGGTTGAAACAGTGGGTCTCGAACCAAAGACGCGTTGCCGTTATTCTGGACTAAAATCTCGCATAATCGATTTCATCGAAAAAAAAAATCGAAAAAGTGATGAGAATCCAGAGAATATCATCGCTACTAATAATCAAGTTAATCATACTTTTATTATCATACCCAGTATCTATACAACAGCACGTCTGTAAAACAAGTTTCAAAACCAAACTAAAACACGCTAAACAAAGCACCAATACCATGATACACACATCAGTACATGTCATTTTACGACGAATTACAACACACGCAGGCAATTCAACTTACACCTACGGCGTGCGCTCGCTGAGTACCGATTGTAACGTTCATACGGTTACATTGGGTACCCAATCGATGAACGCTTACGAAATTACAACCGATCTGACAACACTAATCCCATCCTTTCTAGGTGCTAAAACTCGCCCTTAGTGATACCACTTATAGTCAGGCCACCTTAGACTATTTAAACTTTCCCTCTCTCAATTGTTCTTGTTGTTCATGATTTTGCCTGATTGTTCGCTGTTCTTGTGCTTGTTGTTGTGTGTTGTTGGTTGTTGGTGGTGTGGATGGTGGTGGCGGCGGTGGCGGCGGCGACGACGATGATGATGCTGATTGATCTCTACAGTAGCGATGTATGTGTTGTTGGTGTTGTTGTTGTTGATTGTTGTATGAATGATGTTACACACTGGCGATATACGTGTTGACTTTTTGTAGACGGAGCCACCGCTTAACACACCAGAGAACAGAGAATATACGGCTGAGATCATGTTCGAGACGCTTCAACTGTTCCGGGCCTTCTACATTGCAACGGCTGGGCAGGTGAATACAGCGCATCTAAATCAATCAATAACAATCAATCAGTGATCAATCAAGCTGGCAATCTACAATTGAATGTTTGCACTTAGTATTATTTATCTGCTTAACAAGAAATGAGAGAGAAGAGGGAGAGAGAAGAGAGAGCGAGAGAGAGACGAGGGAGAGGGAGAATGGGAGAGGAAAGAAGGGCGAGGAGAGAGTGAGAGAGGGGCCGAGAAGGAGAGCGAGCAGGGAGAGAGCGGATCGAGTAGGGAGGAAGGGGGAGGGAGAGGGAGAGGGACGAGAGAGAGGAGAGAGCGAAGAGAGAGAGAGAGAGAGAGACCGAGAAGAGAGAGAGAGAAGAAAGCGAGAGAGAGAGAAGAGGAAGGGGGATAGAGGAAGAGGCGAGCAGGGAGCGGAGAATAAGAAAGAGACGGAAGAGGGAGCAGCGAGCTGGAGATAGAGAGAGGGAGAGGGAAGGGAGGAAGAGAGAGAGGGAGAGACAGACAGAAACAAAGACATATACAGATAACGGAAGATATAAGAAGAGAGCGCAAGAGCGGGAGTGAGAGAAGGAGAGAAGAGAGAATGGGATGGTGAGAGAGTATGAGGCAGCTAAAAGAGGACTGTGACGAGACACCAAGATAGAAGCGAGGATTAATTCCGTGTTGATGTTAGACTATTCAGGCTGGTGCTCCAGCGCTCGCTGCATCATAGGACATCCGCGCAGAGTAAGGAGAGAGGCAACCCTGATCAGGCCTAGCGTTAATCGACAGCTGGAGACGGAGTAACCCACGTCATAACCAGTCGTAAGCACGTGTCGTAAATAATTTTAAACATCATTAAATGATGATAAAAATATATCATTTTCTGTTTTTTAATGTCCATTTTTCCCTTTCGGGGTTAAAACAGTTTTATTTCAAAATGACGCCAACATATGACTCATCATGGAATGGTTTTTGGGCAAAGTTTTACAGCCGGATGCCGCTTCCGGCCAACTCCTTTTAGTCGCGTTTCAACGACACAACAAGGGAATTGTAATACGTTTGGCCTATTCTTTAAAGCTGGATTAAATCCCGATAAAATTAAAAGTGATTATAAATAATAAATAAACAACTGTAAAAACTGCATAATTCACATACTAAAATTAATGTAAACAAATGTTTTAAATAAGATATAATTTTTTTACATTACTTATATTTTATTTTAGGCACTTACACTGGTCCACCATAACTAATAGACATTGCTAATCTTCAGCATGTGTCGTATTACCGTTGTCAACCTCTTTATCGTACTTTTGTTAATTCTTAATTGTTAATTGCTTTTTCTTCAGGAACTTACTGGTTTCTCATAATTTTTTTTAACAGGATTTTAATAAACTATAGGAGAACAGTAGATATCATATTTAATTAAGAATGCAAACTAGATAGAATTAATAAGATTATCATAAATTTTACTCTAGCGTTCCAGGGAAACCCCGTGAGCAAACTGACAGTATACTAATTGATAGCGATCTCTTGCCGAACATTCAAAGTGTAGTTGGCCCTATGACTTATCTCGTTCTCAATCTAGGACGAGAGGCTTTAACTGTCATAGGTAGCTGCATACCAGCACATAGTGCCCGATCCAGCGGCACGTGAAATAATCACCTACTTCATTCAGACCGAACTGCTGAGGGAGCGTGAGAAATTGGAATACCAGTCAGTCACACGGAGGCAATACACTATAGACGGCGCAAAGCCATGCAGGTAAACTAAATTTTATTTATTTAGGGATTTATCGGCTTAACGGTAGTGTGTCGCAGCACCGCACCAGTCGGAAAAATACTGATCAGCCTCACTGAGTGGTGCGTATACCCACCAACTCACAGGCTGCATACGCAACCTGCGTGCACCTCTCAACACAGTGGGCATTGGAGTTTTTATTATATTGAATAGTTAGGAACAAGTTTGTCCTCCAGCTATCTTTCTGCATGTTAACGTTAATTACACGGGTTCGTAGCGGGTCTTGCCAAAGTCTTATAAGTACTAGTATGGTTTGCCAAAAATCAAAATACAGGGGCCCTTAATTAGAGCTTATTTTTATGAAAAATCTTTAGCAAAGATTACTTAATCAGTCCTTAATTTTTCGCTTAGCTGTTCTCGTGAAGCTCGAGTAAAGAAATTGGTTGTATTATAACATACCGAGGGTGGTTTGTGACAATTCGTGCCTATATAAATGATTAATAGTAGTGCCTTTAAAGTAGTCTGATGAATCATCAAAATTCGCGTAACAAAATGATCTTATTTTGGCGCTCTAGAAAGGGTCTTTGATATAGTCTTTATTTTCAACATGTGTCCTTCACTACTATGAACCTGTAAATATAGGGACGCGCCGAATCTAACCATGAGGGATGGCGTAGCCAACATTCTAGGTTTGCAGAGTGCGCAAGTGGTGGGCACCCGACCAATCAATTTCACCTAACTGTGGGCAGCCTGGCGAGTCGGCGAGTAAAAAATCATACTGTCATTCATGCGTTGAAGTTTAAACAATGGACAAGACATGTTAAAGATGTTGTTGGAATAATTTCCCCTTAATAAATCGAAACTTTCACAGAAACCGAACCACCTGAATGGATGGTCCTGAACGGCGTGGTCGTAGACGAGAGAGTTTACTTTATTGCGAAACATTAAGTCATCGGGGCTAATTTAAGAAAACTTCGGCACTATTTCCAGGCACTCAGCTACAACAGGACCACCAAACTGTCAGTATTTTTTCTTTCGCTGTACTTCTCTCATATGATCGTTAATAGTTCCCGTACGATTTGTTTCCTCGTCATTCTCAACTTCTTTCTTCGCGACAATAACCGTTTGTTCTTGTCTCCATAAGTTCGTATTTTAATGAAACTGCCCGTTGTTTGTGTCCAGGAAAAATATGACTTATTCAATTTGTCCACTATGGGCTCATTTTAGCAATGTCAACAGATGTTGTCTACAATTTTTGTTTTCCACTTTTGGTTACTGTGCAGAGAAAAATGGGGCACATTTGTCCGGATGTTGGGCGAAAGGAGATTTCTCCTAAAGTACGAACCAGTGACCCCCACGCGAAGTGGATGAGACGTATAAGTTTTGAACGCACGTCCACGAAACAGCCGTTTTCAGCCGTCGCCGGTCGGTTACGAGCGTTTTCTGGGGACGCAGAAATCTTCTTCCATCCCGGAAGGTATCTTAACATTTAATTAAATATATCACTATTAAGTGCTTCATTTAATATGTTTCGCATAATATAATTATTTGGCAAAAATTGCACCACGGATGAAGAAGTGTAAGGTTTATAGCAAGAAATGAAATAAAAATAAAAATAAAAAAGAGAAAGACGTGAAAATAAAATTACTGGATAAATTCACAAGATTTATTTATATCCATTTAGCTAATTGAAAAGCTTTTGTCATTTAACCTCCAAAAGTATTATATTTTTATCCGATTTAATTTAGACTGTCCTTATCGTCATTTCCAGCAGCATGTCCTATGAGGTTGATATGATCCATATTTGCTGTAACTATTGAGATCGCCTAATGAATGACCTTGCAGCCAAATTTGTGTGACATTTATTTCTGATATAATACATAAATAATATCTTTTTTAATATATATGTTTTTGTGTCATATTTCAATGCTTAGTGTCCGATATAAATTTGTCAGCAGTTTGCGAACGGCCTGACTTACGACAACCAATATCAACATTGTGGCACAACGTTATTTTCCAGAACTGCCACCAATCGACGTCAGGAGGGCCTCTTTACAAGGTACACCGAAAACTTCATAAGGCCTAAGATTAAACAATTATTGTTTGTTTCCTCCTTTTCGGCGACGAGCTCAGCGACCAAAACGCCGCTACTCGAGCACATTTTATGGAGGGCGATTAAAAACAAAACAAAATTTCTTTCTTTCGGGCGCAAAAAAAAATAAAATTCGTTTCCGCAAAAACATATACACAAAACTAGAAATATACAATATACATACCAGACGCATCCACTTGTCAAAGCGGTACGCACAAAATAAAAAAAGTATTTTTCAACCTACCCTACCTACTGCGTACCGCTGAGAGGCGAGTAGGTAAGGGAAACAAACAATTTTTTCAAGGGTGGCCTAAATTGCTTTACTCACCTTAAAGCAGTGTGGTTTCTCCCGGCTTCCTTTACTCCAACCTATATCTGCTAATCACCCCAGACACGTGACCCAACATCAATCGCCATAGACCACGCGGACCAGACCGCCCCAAACACGTAAGGATGTGAGCCGTTGCAAAAATTCATTTGAATAGTCTTCGGCTAAAATCTCGCGGTCATGAAACCGGGCGAAAACAGAAAAAAGGCCAGTTGCTTGTCAGCGCACTGAGCCGCGCCTACAGCCCATCCGCAAGAGAAAGTTTATGCATTGTTCTTTGGTTCTTTCTGTATCGTTAGTTCTCTCATCGTTTCTCGGCTCTCGTCGTTACTTTCGTTCGCCGTACGATTCTTGTCTCGATCGTTCATTACTCTCATTGTTCTTCGTTCCGGCGCGTACGATTCTTGTCTCATCGTCATGCTCTCAATTGTTTCTTCGTTCGCGATCGTACGATTTCTTGTCTCATCGTCTCATGGGGAGCTCTCAATTGTTCTTATCGTTCGGCCGTAGCGATTCTTGTCCCTCATCGTTCATCCTCTCATTGTTCTTTTCGTTCGCCGTACGATTCTTGTCTCATCGTTTCATGAGTCTCTCATTGTTCTTCGTTTGCCGTACGATTCATTTTCCTCATCGTTCATCCCTCTAGCCCTATCATTGTTCTTCGTTTACCGTACAATTCTTCTCTCATCGGTCTTCTCTCGTCGTTCTTCGTTCTCCGTACGATATTCTCTCGCCGTTCTCTCTCACCGTACCTTCGTTCTCTCTCGTCTCCCCGGCAGAAACATCGTGCTCTCGGGCGGTTTCGACGATGTCCGTGACTTCGGACGTCGGCTGCAGCGGGACGTGAAACGCTACGTCGACGCGAGACTGAAGCTGAGCGAACAGCTGAGCGCGGCATGCTCAAGGTGAGGAGACTCTCGATTAAAATTAAAATGTTAAAATTAAAATCTGTATTTACAATGTGATGCTTTAAATCAGTTCCACATAGTAGTTTGTCACGTTCAAAAAGTATTTTGTCAAGGTGAGGTGTCTCTCGATTCAAATATGCTCTTTAAATATTAATAATATTATGCTTTAAACGTTAAAATATTATAAATATGCTTTAAATATTAATAATATTATGCTTTAAATATTAATAATAATATGCTTTTAATATTAATAATAATATGCTTTTAATATTAATAATAATATGCTTTAAATATTAATAATAATATGCTTATAACATATTAATAATATTATGCTTTAAATATTAATAATAATATGCTTTTAATATTAATAATAATATGCTTTAAAGATGCTTTAGTTCCATATAGTATTTTAGCGCATTAAAAACAGTGGCAGTAAATAGAATAAGTAGACAGCAAACTAAGATCTAAAATCATTTGTTGTGCCATCCTTCAGCATGCATTTAAGCAGCTCGGCTGCCACGGGGCACGTGTAGCGGAGTGCAGCACGGTCCTGTCGGACGATTCGTCCATATACATATATACAGATATACATGCACAGGGGTAGAAATTAACTTTTTAACAAGGAAGTCCAACGGACTCCCTGCTCTCAAAAAGAGGCAGTCCACAGCAGAATGAAGGAGTCCACAGTCTGGAGTTCAAAACTAATGATATTAACAATAATGCGTTCGCTTATTTTGAATATTCATGCGGTTGCACGTCTGCCAAATTGACTTTGGACATTTGATGAAAAAATATGGCTATTCCGCGAGGCCGCGCTCTGGAACGAACTAGTTAGTATATAGCAGAATTTTCAGGGAGTCACACGGACTTCTGCACATGTCAAATCAGGGAGTCCGACGGTAAATCAGGGAGTATTTGACTCCGGACTCACGTTAATTTCGCACCCTGCATGCATACACGTGAATGTTCATTTGTTTTTGACAGCCGAAGCCGATCGATGTTCAGGTTATCACCCATCACATGCAGCGATACGCTGTCTGGTTCGGAGGTTCCATGCTTGCATCCACGGTAAGCAGCAGCAGCAGCGTACTGTTCTCTATACTGTTCATTAGTATTACACTATTTATTAGTATTACACTATTTATTAGTATTACACTGTTTATTAGTACTAGCTGGAACCCGCGCTAAGCGCGGGCTTAGTGACTGTGATGCATGTGGTACCGACTGTTCAATACCCAGAGAGATAAGAGAAGAGTTTGACCTTGACATTGACATTTAACTTCATTATTACATGCTTATTTCTACTTACATTATTGGGCTTACAAAAATCATAAAAATCATTATTGGGCTTACATGCAGCACAACGTTGACAGACTATTTATTAGTATTACGCTATTTATTAGTATTACATTCTTTATTAGTATTACACTATTTATTAGTATTACACTATTAGATAATCACATTTTTAGATGAGAGTAATTTTCGGAATTGTCATTACGTGAGGGACGCTGAATTGTTTGCGTTTCTGCATCTTATCTGTAAAGTCGTGCGTCATTTGTCACGAGTTTTACACAATTCATTAGTATTTCACTATTAGATAATCATATTTTTAGACGAATGAAGTTTTCTGAAGTGTTTTATTAATGTAAGAGATCGTCCGAAGCACCGCACAGATTCGTTTTCGTTTCCATATCGTGCGTTTGTTTGTTTGTCCACAGCCCGAGTTTTACCAAGTGTGCCACACGAAGAAGGACTATGAAGAGTATGGACCCAGCATCTGCCGACACAATCCCGTGTTTGGAACCATGACATAAGTTCTTCTGCAGTGGATTCATGCTGAAGCAAATTCAGCTGAAGAAAATTCTTCTGAAGCAAGTTTTCATGAGTTCTTATGGACGGTTCTTATGGACCGAGTCTTACTGAAAAGCTGACTTCTGCAGATGCAAAGAAATATTCGGTTAAAATGAGTGCCACTGAGCCTGTGGTTGAGTTCCAGGCTCCCAATGGTGACATGCTAACCTAACCTGGCTTAATTTCCACTACGTATCGAATGAATTATTACCTTATTTCGATATCGCACTCAAATTATTCTGTCTGGAATATACGTGGAAAGCCGTGTGTAGTCAAGGCCCTCATTAGATATTCACACATGTGGAAGGGCTCGATTTCGACCTTACATTACAAGGTCGCGAGTCGGCCACCAAACAGTAGTGTTATCTAAATTCCGGCTGATGCGTGTGCCATTTCCGGTAAATCATATGAAAAATAGTACTATGACTATACGTAGTGGTTCAAGACCACTTTCATAGAACTTCTCGTACGTTTGAAAACGTTGCCAGTATCATTTCAAGAAAATGAGGAATAGACAGTTACGGACGGTTATAGAGGAGCATGTGCCTAAGCTGTGAATGTCACCATAGGCATCACGTTTCTAAGCACTCCATTTCTGTTTCCCCTTTCTAAATTAACCGTCATGTGAAAATGGAAATGTTTCAATGATTTCATGCTGGTTTCTGACATTTCTTTTTGCATGCACCTAAAGTGTCTATTTGATGTATCGCTATACGACGTAAGATGCTGCAGCATAGGTTAATTAATTTTTATTGTTATCGTTTAATTATGGAGGTGAACTCGTTTGTATTCGGATATAACTGATCATGATATTTATGGAGAACAACCCTAAATAAACATTTAGATTTTTGTATTTTGATGTATAATTCCTAAAATATTGGGAATTTCTATTAAGAAATTGTCGATTTCTCAGAATGATATCAGTTTACTTCACTGTCAGAAGTATCCTGACTAAAACATAATCACCTGGATGAAATTTCAGGAAATTATTAGCATACACATTAGCGAAAACGTACCGAGAAAAAGTACCATCGGTTAAAGGATCGTATTCAAATGCTCCCTATTGTAATTAGCTGTGAAAACAAGCTAAGCGATTAATTAATAATTATACAAGTATATATCGTAAAGAGGCTGCTTAATTTTGATTGTCAGTTTCACCAAGGCAGAGTGTTTTGTACAGTATATGAACACGAAGATCCTATGCATTTGATACAAGAAACGATGGAATAAACAACGTGTAGTTTTTTCCAAATGTTTTGTATATGAAGATTCTCTGTATTGGCAAATTTGCAACTAATTGTGTGTTGTGCCGTTGGGAGGGGGGGGGGTTACCACAGAGCTAGATGAATGATATAGGATGAGAACAAATGCTGAACTATGGAATAACAAATATGTAGATGCAGAATCAGATTGGCGATATAGGAAATAATTCACATTCATTGTCTAATGGACATGTTTCGCTGTTTATTTCCGCAAATGATTCATTTGATAGGCGTGCACGCACATTATATTCAATTGCAACAAATACACAAAATAGTCAATTCACATGCAATTCCAACTAACAGAATTATCAGTCAGCAGGTTCTGGTCACTTGCCTAGAAATTAAGCAAACTGGGGAATTTCATTTTTCTTCAGCATGCCAGTAAGGCATGCTACTGCATTCTACAGCATTCTACTGCTACTGCATTATACAGGAAAAGTCAGACAAATTTGTGATTACAAAAATTGAAAGTCAGCAAAAAACATTTATACATTAAAAAAAATTTCTTCCACGTGAAGATTTCCAGATTTCTTGTTAGATCCCTTACATAATTATCTGATGTACGTGTAGGTATAGGCATGGATAGCGAATTATCTGTTGTAAATAAGTCAAGAGTACATAATAGAGAGTGGTTGTGTCCCAGTTCGTCACCGTACTACACAATTTCAATTCACATTCTAGCCGTTGGATGGCGCTAGTGGGCACGCGTGAACATCAATTTATTAGTGAGGCGTTCGTTCTCTGTCTGTCGTATGTTAGCATAACAAGCAATTAGTAATTACACTAAGAAGTACGTATTAGTGCCGCCTTTCCGCCGTTCTTTGAATTATTAAAGCCGAGCCACACTAGCAGTGCATCTCTTCCAGAGGTATTTTCGGTAAGAAACTAGGCTTGTAGACAACTAACTAGTAACTAAGTAAGAAGCCATACTTCAGTGAAGTCTTCACCTCATGATCGCTTATTTACTCATTGATGTAATAATGATTAGACTTACTCACTTAGTCATTCGAAATTACTATCAAATGTTGAAATATTCCAACCAAACAGAGTAAAGGATGCAAGTTCGATTACAACATATACAAATATGATGTATCCCTATACTCAGTACGGGTACACTGTTTGATAGCCTCTACTCTAGTACTATAGCCCGCGTTCGATTAACTGCCGCAGGCTGTTGCGGGCGCAGGCCCCTACGGCAGTTAATCGAACGCGGGCTATAGTACTAGAGCTAACTGTTTGATAGCTCTACGGTATAGCCCGCGTACAGTTGCCGCAGGTATACGGTATGCAGGCTTAATTGCGGCAACTGGGGGTGGCAGACTAGATGACTTAAGTGTCCTTCGCCACTCCCGTGCTTAAACTGATTAAAATTGTACTTCTACATGTAATTATTTCTTTTATAACGATGTACTCTGTATTTATGTATGTCTTATGCACAAATAAACTGTTTTCAACTGTACGCGGGCTATAGTACTACTACTAGTCTAGAGCTAACTGTTTGATTACACATGATTTGTATCTAACACTTGTTGATTAAGCAATTTAGTGTATACGTGATTGAATACCTAATCAATGATTCAATAATTAAACGCAGTGGCTACGCGTCCGGAACCGGTCACGTAGCCTCCAGGCTACGAATCCGGACATCCACTCACACAGTGATCGCGCGACTCGCGTACACGCATGATTGTGCAACGGGACGCTCTGCTGATTGCTCAGCTAAAGAGTGACGAGACCAGACAGAAGCGAGGGATTAATTCCGTGTTGATGTTGATATCAGGCTGTGCTCGCGCTCGCTGCGTCATGGACATCCCGGCAAGTAGGAGAGAGGACCCTGACAGGCTGCGTTATCGACAGCGGAGACGGAGTCACCCACGTCATACCAGTCGTAAGCGTGCCGTAAATAATTTTAACGTGATTAAAATGATATAAAAATAATCATTTTCTGTTTTAATGTCCGTTTTCCCTTTCGGGGTTAGACAGTTTTATTCCATGACGCCATTACTCGTCATGGAATGGTTTTTGGAGCAGAAGTTTTACAGCCGGATGCCCTTCCGGCCAACTCCTTTTAGTCGCCTTCTACGACACACACAGGGAGATACGTTTGGCCTATTCTTAAAGCTGGATTAAAATGATAAATTAAAATGATTAAAATAAAAAATAAAACGTAAAAAATTCATAATTACATAACTAAAATTAATGTGAAAAATGTTTTAAATAAGATTAATTTCTACATTACTTATATTTTATTTTAGCACTACACTGGTCCACCATACTAATAGACATTGCTAATCTCGCCATGTGTCGTTACCCGTTGTCCCTGCTTTATCGTACTTTGTTAATTTCTTATTGTTAATTGCTTTTTCTTCAGGAATTACTGGTTTTCATAATTTTTTAAAGGATTTTAATAACTATAAGAACAGTAATATCATATAATTAAGATGCAAACTAGGTAGAATTATATCTATTTTATCTAGCTTCCAGGGAAACCCGAGCAAATCTGACAGTATAAATTTGTAGCCATCTTGCCGAACCATCAGAATGTATTGCTATGCTTTTCGTTCCAACAGGCGGAGGGCTACGTTATAGGCAGCTGCATCAAGCACATCCCGATCGCGGGCCGTGATATCACCTACTTCATTCAGACCCTGCTGAGGGAGCGTGAGGTTGGAATACCACCGGAGCAATCACTAGAGACGGCCAAAGCCATCAAGGTAAACTAAATTTTATTTATTTAGGGATTTATCCTTAGAGGTAGTGTGTCCAGCACCGCACCAGTCAGAAAACTGATCAGCCCACTGAGCGGTCGTATACCCACCAATCACAGCGCACCCTCACACAGTGGCCATTGACGTTTTATATATTGAATATTAGAACAAGTTTTGTTAAATTATTCTAGACTCGCAGGCAAAGTAGAATAATCATGTCGTGAAATAGCACTATTTTCCCGTTTTTCCGTTGTACACTCTAGGTATTATTAGCTCTTGATATATATGTATATATACACATGTATATACATATATATGTGTGTGTATGCGTGCGTGCATGCATGCGTGCGTGTGTGCGTGGTTTAGAATTAAATAAGCAACTGATAATTGATAGATCTCAACACAATTAAGGTAATTTGTCAATATATCAATATATCAGTGTTCAGTGCTTGATTAACAGAGGATAAGGTTAAAGGCACAGATTTGATATGAAAAATGCAGACCTACTACTAGCTCCAGCCACATCAATCTATAACAGTAAAACGAGTAACTGCTTTATTTAACCGCATATTCATATGCTTACTAAGTGACCAAGAATCTTCTGATATGTCATCACCCAAATGACCAATTGTTCCTATATATGTGCCGATGCCAACATGCATGCTTGTATTACAAGAAGAAAAAGATGATAAAGGGAAAAGTGGAAAACAAAGCATGTGTCAAAAGATCCGCAGAGGTTAAAATAGTGTGTCTGCATAGTTGTGCATCTGATAACTTACTTTTAAATTAATGAACCATTTAATGAGTTTAATTGGTAATTAAGTTTAATTGGTACCCCGATATGTTACGGAATCGCGCTTGTGGTGGTGACAGTAGTCTATGAAGAGTCGTTGCACCGTGCATTTGTAATTCACAGAATTTCATTCGTGTATGCACAAGCTTTGTGCAAAGCTTCGGTTCGGTTTGCTTTCGTACTGTACGGCATGAAAATGTATCGCGCGTAGTTAGTTGTACCTAAACCGCTATTGATTTTCAAATAGCAAGACTATTGGCACACACACACACACACACATACATAGAGGCACACAGGAGAGTTAGAATCATCATGACTTTCAACGTATGACTCCGGCGGTATCAGCGAGAGCGAATTCAAGACACGAGGTTTCAAAACGAGGTTGCTCAATAGTTTCGGTCCCACGAGCGCCAGCTGTCTCGTGCTACATGTGTGTGCGTGCGTGCGTGCGTGCGTGCGTGCGTATCTGCATGTGCGTGTGTCTGCGTGTGCGTGTGCGTGCGTGCGTGTGCTTGCGTGCATGTGCGCGTGTGTCTGTGTGTCTGTGTGTCTGTGTGTATAGAATCAGGAGTTAATAATAGACAAATTTGTCTATTATTAACTCCTGATAGAATGTACATATATAATGTACATATATATGTATGTATATATGTATGTATATATAATATATATATATATATATATATATATATATATATACTATAGGTATGTAGAAAAATAGAATAGGGTGTTAAATTTTAATTAGCCAGCTTTCTAGCATTATCTCTCTTCATCAGTCTATATAAATATTTGGAGTTTATTATGTTTATCTAAAAAAATTCAAAATTCAAGAGTTCACTCGCACGAATTTCATTGCGGTTCGGATTATATCGGCGCATATGCGGAACGTTTGCGCTCTTGTCGTGCGTAGTTATGTAGATCTGGTTATGTCGATTCTAGCACTGCGCTGGAATCGTTTCGCAGGCTTCCTTGAAGCCGAAGTGGGTAAATTCCAGCAAATTGGAAAACACGAAAATACGAAAATGCGAAAATGTGTCAGTTAGCAGACAGTAACTGCAGAGCAAAGATGAAAGTTCGGGGGGGGGGGGGGGGGCAATGAGAAAATGTTTCACACGTTGTTGAAGACGGGTGTGTGTTTCAGTATAGGATACTTTCCTTCATAAAAACTAACGCCGAACGCTCCCGCACTCGCCGCTGCGAGTGTGCTGTGTTGCCATGATAATGATAATATATAAAGTATATATAACTTTATATATTATTATCATTATAATGGCGACACAGCACACTCGCAGCGGCGAGTGCGGGAGCGTTCAGCGTTAGTTTTTATGAAGGAAAGTTGAAATACAGTGACACAACAGTGGAACTGTAATTGAGAGGTACGGTAGTATTTGTGAACGATCATTCATATTATTTTCAGTTTTTACTGACTCTATCCCAAGTGTATATAGAGCAGCTGCAGCTGCAGTAACCCCTGTGCAGCTGCAGTAACAGGCTCTGATTGTGCTCTTCATAATAACAAGAATTACGATTGAACGAACAGGTAGTTTCGTCGTACATTTCTCGCTTGCCACGACTCTCCGAATCGCGGCGTTTTCCCCGCCGTGTCACGGCCGGCAGCCATCGCTCTCGCGCGCAGGTGGATACGTAGAGATTCATTCCACGCTAACGACTCGCCGAACCCGTGTTTCTAAATTGCAGATGCGGTTGCTACTGGTGATCCTCGTAGTCAGCGCGCTGGAACGCATGAGGGGAGTGACGGTGAGCCCAGGTGAGTTGTCTTCCCCTGTCACTCACCTGCCGCCGCAAGATACAGATTATCATCGTTAGAGCGATATTATATATCTCTTTATAATGACGACAGTTTTCATCGAAACTCTATTCTATTCAGTAATTGCAATTAAAAACGACGTTTTAAGACCTGGCAAACTTGTTGTGCCTAAAATTCACAAATGGGTTCATTTTTCCACAAAATAAATGATCAGGAACTAGACGCAATTACCAAGATGAATAATATATATATCAAGAGCTCATAATAGAGATCTCTATTATGAATCTCTATAGAATCTCTATTATGAGCTCTTGATATATATATATATCGATATATAGAATATATATATATATTTATACATACTTATCAAAGTGGAATTTCTGTACTGTCTGTCATTGTTTTTTTTCTGATGCATTTGGGACCTGTTTTACGTTTCCCATTTACTTGGTCTATACATGTTTTTTATGATATAATTTTGGTTGCATAAAAACCGCTGTATTTTGAATGCGCGTCGTTGCCTTGTCTTCATCATTGCATCTCGTTGCAGCATGCAAGTCTATCTCCTACGTTAGGAAATTCTTAAATAAAATTGTTTTTTTGGGGGGGTCCTAAATTTCCTTATATGGCTTTACGCATTGTCACCTCACCGTCGTTGTGCCCGGGACTCTCCCTGTTATCCCCTCACCGCCTCGTCGTTATTGCACTTTGCAGCATGCAGTGTGTT